CTCAATCTTCTGGATTTCTGATTGAAACCTTTTCATGAACTCTAATTCTTAGCATAACTGGTCTTACCGTAACTGTTTTGCACTATTTTGTTCAGCTCAGCTAGCTTTTTATTAGTGTCTTCTAAAAGCTTCTGGGTCATTTTGGTTTTTACAGTAAGTCCTGAATTACAAACATAAGTTGCAAACAAATCAGAAGTAGCTCACATGTCTGCCAGACATTGCCGTGGTTATGCTGCTGTGTGCTTACTATACAGTGCAATAGTATATAGTAGTATAGTGCTTAGTCAGCCCAGGATATTCAGAAGCAAGAGAATAAGCTTTATACTGTATTTATGTCAAAGGTGTATAATACTTTGTCAGATTCGGAAGTGAATCTGATTTAAGAATGTTCTCCAAAAAACAGAATGTTCTCCCAGAATAGAACTAGTTCATAAGTTGGAGACTTACTGTACTTCTATTTTGTTTAATTATGTCTTCGGTGATCCCACTGACTAGCTCTTTGATCTGTTTTCTAGCCTCTTGTATACTTTTGAGTAATTGAGATACGAGGTTTATGCCATTCAGTACTTTTCAGTAATAATTCTCATTGTAAATGTACTCAGTTCCCCAATCAAAAGACACAAATTAGCAGAACAAATCAAGAAACAAAACAGTGTGCACTATACCTTAAACACATTTAATTTGAAAAGAAATTCACAGATTAAAAGTCAAAGTATGGAAAACAATATTGCATGTGACAGAAAACCAGAAAGAAAGAAAGAAAGAAAGAAAGAAAGAAAGAAAGAAAGAAAGAAAGAAAGAAGAAAAAAAAAGCACAAGCAGCTATCCTAATCTCAGACAAAGTGAATTTCAAGCCAAAACTGATTAGTAGAGACAAGGATGGTCACTAGATAATGGTCAAGGAGAAAATTCAACAGAAAAAAGTAATAGTTATAAATATATTACTTTTATTTATAAACACCAAACACCAGTCTGCCCAACTTCATAAAAAAAACATGATCATGAAAAATCAGATAAAACGGCTGGTGAGATGGCTCAGTGGTCTAAAGCACCTACTTAGAACAAGCTGTAGCTAAAGCACAGGGACGATGGTTCAATCCCCCAGCACCACATGCCAGCCAGCCCCGCCCCCTGGTGGGCTGAGCTGGCCACACACACACACACAAAAATAAATAAATAAATAAATAAATAATCAGATAAAAACTGTGTTAGTTATTTTTCTCCTTGCTAAGACAGAATACCTGACACCCAAAATTAAGGAAAGAAAGATTAATTTAGCTCACAGTTTGTAGAAATTTCAGTCAATAATCAGTGGCTCCAAGGCAGAGTGCATGGCAGAGGCATCACAAAAGAGAAACAGTTCGTGATAGGCAAAAGGTAGCAGAGCAGCAAGAGACAAGCACAGCTCTTTCTATTGCTCATATCTTATCCAGGTTACTTTGTACAGGTGATACACCCTTAATCACCTTGCACTAAACTAAAATCAAAAGGACCAAAGAGCTAAATGTTACAACAGAAACAATCTGCTGCACAACAAAATAAGTAAAACTCTTAAAGACATAGATACCTACAAAGACTAAAATGAAATACTGTTTGCACAAGAAATAATACCAAGAATCAACAGGTGGAATCACATCAAGTCAAAAAGCTTCCACACAGCAAAGGAAACCATGAACAGAGTGAAGAGACAGCCTATAGAATGGGTGAAAAAATTGCAGGCTACTCATCAAACAAAGGACTAGTATCTAGAATATATAAAGAATTCAAAAAAATTAGATCCCCCCGAAATTTAAAAACCTAATTTAAAAAATGTCTCAAATGAATGGACACTTCTTAGAAGTACAAATGCCCAATAAATGCATGAAAGAAGATATTTAACATCACTGGCCATGTGAAAAATACAAATTAAAATAACACTGAGATTCCATATCATTCCAGAAAGAATGTCTATCTTCAAGAAATCAAATAATAATAAAAGGGGCCGGGGAGATAGCTCAGTAGAATAAGTGCTTGCCTGGCAAGCACAAGGGCCTGAGTTCAATCCCTGGTTCTGCCAAATAATAATGATATAGTAGTAATAATAATAATAATAATAATAATAATAATAATAATGGAGCAGGGAAAGGAACACTTCTTTATTATTAGTGAGAGTGTAAACTTGTACAACTACTATGGAAATCAGTATGGTGATTCTTCAAAAAACTAGAAATAGATTTTCCATTTGACCCAGCTAGTTCCACTCTTGGCTTCTTTCCAAAAGAGTTGAAGACACCATATTACAGTGATATGTACATGCACATGTTTATAGCAGCACCATTCATAATAGCTAAGTCTTAGAAATAGCCTGTATGTTCAGGAATAGTGAATAAAGAAAACATGGTACGTATACACAGTAGAGTACTACTTTGCTATAAAGTAAAATCATCTTGAATCCTTTGTAGGGAAATGGGTGGAACTGGAGATTATAATGTTAGGTGAAATAAATTAGAAACACAGGCTTAAATATAGCATGGTTTCTCATATAAAAAACACAATGCATAAAATGTAAAATGAAAGGTTGATCTTTGGTATGTTGTAAGGGAACTGAGAGATGGGAGGGGGAATGAGATTTAAGTGGGAAGGTAAAATGCTATGTACATACCCCAAGTCCCTCTGACAGTTGTGGAGCCTATGGCACATGCACCATAGCGGGCTGTTTGTAATATTGAAAGCTCGAAAAGAGTCAGCATTAGGGGCCGGGGAGATGGCTCAGTGGAATAAGCGCTTCCCTGGCAAGCGCAAGGGCCTGAGTTCAATCCCCGGTTCCGCGAAAAAAAAGAAAAGGTCAGCATCACTGTCCTATGAGGAATGTGATTATCACATACTACAAACAAGTATAAAGATTTTTATATATACATACACAGTCTGCCCAAAAAATGTGTACACACTTCAAGAAAAGAAAAATTTGTACAACTATTTTAATACTAAATTTATTGAGACACAGTGAGGTTAATGTAAGTTACTTTTGGCCTCTGCAATTACAGGGGGTGCTCAAAGTATGGCCATTATTTCTACACATTTGTTAGTATGGTGAACTGCTGCTTTCATAAGTGGTCATTGAGATTGCTACACATGCATTTTCAATTTCTTTAAGGGCCACCAGTATAGTGGGTTTTCCACAATATATGACATCCTGTAGGGTTCCCCATAGAAGGGTAACACTGTCTGTTGAAAAGAGAAAAAAAAAAAGACATCATACTAGTTTTCCTGAAGTGTATATACATCTCCAGGGTCCAAGAGATGCAGAGAAGGGGAGGAAGAGGATTAAAGAACAAGCATTAAGAAATGTCATGTACATGTGCCAGTTCCCCATGATAAATGTAGTCATTATATACTACAAGTATGTACCAATAAAAAAAATTTTAAAGTAGGCAAAAAATGATAACTTATGATTTCTGAGTTTTTAGTGCTATTTTCCATCTTTTACTCTTTAAAGTTTTTTATTGAGTATAATTGACAAAATCATATATATTTAAGATATGTTCTTAGATACATATATGTTGTAAATGTTTCTACAACCAAGCTAATTAATGTCCATCACCTCATATTTCCAGCATTCTTAATTTCCTCCACTTAGAAGCATATTAACACAAGTCAAAAAGCACCCTTAAAAAAGATTGGGCTGAGCATCTCACTCCCAGAGATAGGTTATAACAGTGATGTGAATACCATTGTAGATTAGCATTAGAGTTTATTATCCTTAGAATGCTTGATAAAGTTCCCAAATACAGCGACTGTGGCATTCAAACAACAATACCCTCCCTATCCACACCTCAAAATCACTTCTTTCCTATCTCTTCTCACCCATTTATGTACTCCTGACCTCTAAATCCAGTCAGAATCCCCATTCCCTAGTAGGAGAAAAAAAAAAAAAAAAAAAAAAAAAAACTCAAGGTTATTCTCTGTCCCTACCAGCTGTCATCCCTGCTAAGCTTTCTAGGTGCTGAAAGCCCTTAAGGATTGACCTTCTTCCTACTACTTATCTTGGCTTTTTTCTTACTGTCTGTAAAAACCAAAAGATAGGTTCCCTGTGGCAACTTCTTACTTTTCTTCTTGAGAGATTAAATGGAGAACCTTAACCAAAAAGTTATGGAACTAATCCCCATCCCCCATTCTGCTTTTAGGAAGTGGGACAGATAATTAATTATTTGGTACCCAAGAATAGTTTGGTTTAAATTATAATACTACTTTCATTTATTCATAAGAATAGTTTAGCACTTATTCTTCATTATGAAGGACATAATAGAAGCCATGCAATCACACATTGAATAAATTATTTCTACCTTTTACCTGATTATTTGTTGTTCATGTGCTGTGATTGGCTACTTTAAAAAGATAGAATTGCTAAAAAGTATTTATAATTAATATAGCCAGAATATCTTAGCTTTAAATGAAAAAATTTTATCTGAGGTGTTGGAAGTCTTTTCAGTAACCTGTGGGAATTCCTGGCTTCTAGAATTTTTCAAGCTTTGAAACCTCCCATCTTTATGGTATTTAATCTAGTTAGGAAATCTAATACCATTATACTGGAATATGTATCTTTCAAAAGCTCATTAAAAGCTACTAACTCTTATTATAAATCACAGATTTTTTAGATTGGAGTAAGCTTGAAAATAAATATGCTGACACTCCAAGATGAATGATATACTGTCATTTTTTCTGCCACTAGTTAGATAACCAAACTTCCATATGTTAAGAGATTCATACACTTTGGTTTACTACCTACACGTCTGACTGTCCTCACTCTTCGGTAGCTGCTGTAGTGTACTAGTTAACATTCCTCCTATCTTCCAAGAGAGATAGCTTGTTCACAGGTTGCTATGATTCTCAAAGAAATTATTGCCTTTTTCTCGATATCTGATAAATTTATGAAATCTTAAGTAGATAATACTTGTTAGTTTGTATACTTTCATACTTCTATGACTACTTAGACTTCTAAAATGTATTATTTGTTTTTATAGGACAATGAAGGTCAAACAGCTCTTCACTATGGTAAGATGTTTCAAAATTATTTAATGATCATATTTGAACTTTTTTTCTATTTGTTTCAACTTTGTTCAACCCTATGTAGTTCTTATAAAAGTATCTAGTAGCTAACAAATTAACTTTTGGTTATTAATCTAACAAATTAATCTATAAAGTTGGAGATGTATTAAAGTTCTTATGGGCACATGAGTAGTAAAATAAGCATTTCTGTGTTCTGCACTAAGTATTAGCACTTTCAGGAAAGTGACACCTCCAGCTCCTGTTGACACTTCAGTATTTCACTCTTGGTATGACCAATGGCATCTAAGATGCTGATCAGTGTCACTGAGATTCTAGCATTTCTCAATGAGAAACATTTTCTTGATGTGCAGGAGGCCCCCTAAGTGTAATTTTGCTTTCCACAGTTTCAGTTATGACAGTCTACTGTGGTCCAAAAATATTAAATATTCTGAAATTTCCATAAGCAAATAATGAGTAAATTTTAAATTGTGTACTGCTCTTAGTATGATAAAATCTCATGCCATCCTGAATTACCTCTTTGTTCCATCTACACATGCTACATATAGTACCTGTCCCATGTGTTAGTCACTTACTAGCCATTTCATTTAGCAGAAGCTGCTTATTGTGCTTGTGTTCAAGTAACCTTTTGGTAGTATCTAAACACTGTATCACATGCCTGCATCATCCATCTCCCTCCATCTCATCACATAGGTGTGGTGTTATCTTAACATGAGAACAAAGGTGAGCATAATGCAATAATATATTTTTAAGAGAGACCACATTCATATAACTTGTATTTTATTTAATGTATTGTAATAATTGTTATTACTAATTATTGCTGTTAATCTCCTCCTGTGCCTAACATATACTTTACCATAAGTGCGTATATATTTGTAGCATATATATATATATATGAAAAATATAGTTGTATATAGATTTGATATTATCTCAGATTCCAAGAAGCCACTGAAGTCTTGGGATGTATTCTCCAGAAGATAAGGGGAGACACTATAATTAAAGGTAAACAAATTTGAGTTTTAGCTCATATCTGCTACTAACTGATCAGTGTAGCTAAGTAATTTTTACATGAGTAATCTGTAAAATAGAGCAAAAATAATAGTATGGCTCTTAGAGACCTATTAGAAATTATTGGGCCGGTGAGAGAGCTCAGCAGACTAAAGTATCTGCTTAGGCAAAAGCGCAGGGACCACAGTTCAATACTTGGTACCACATGCCACTCCAGCCCCACACCCAGGGCAGGCTGAGCTGGTCAGAGTCTGGACATAATGGCACATGCCTGTAATCCCAGCACTGGGGAGGCTGAAAGCAGGAGGATCATCACAAGTCCAAGCTGTGCATAGTGAGGGCCTGCAACAACCAAATCTTTTGTTGTTGTTGTTGTTGTTTTTGAGGAATTGGGGATTAAATTTAGGCCTTTGCACTTGCCAGACAAGTGCTTATTGTACTGAGGTATCTCTCCGGCCAACAGCTAAATACATTTAAAAAAAAATTATTAGTAAAATAAAAGTCATATTTGGGGCTGGTGAGATGGCTCAGTGGTCTGAAGCACCTTCTTGGAACAAGCTTGGCAAAGCACACGGAATACAGTTCAATCCCCCAGCACCACATGCCAGCCAGCCCCGCCCCCTGGTGGGCTGAGCTGGCCACACACACACACACACACACATAAATAAATAAAATTAAAAAAATAAAAAAGAGTAGCTTTAAAAAAAAAGTCATATTTGTCTGTTTCATAGTGGAAAGTATGTTAAATATATTCAGAGATTCTGTTGGTGAATATGGTTGAATTATAAGTAGTTGTCAATAGTTTAGCCAGATTAAGGATGAACCACGCTCAGACATTTTGGGAAGGAATACATTAGGCCATCTTGCTAGTCTCAGTAGTCCCAATCTGCTATTCAGTAACAGTGGTGCAGATTCTCTGGGACATATTTGTCCACTGCTTAGCATTTATTTGGATATCAGATACTCCAGTGGGTTATCTAGGAGTTTAAAGCATTGGACTATCTCATACTACCCATATAAATCAGCTTGTTAAGGAAATTGAAATGTTAATGAATATCTACCAGGGCTGGCCAGATAGCTCAGCAGACTAAAGTGCTTGCTTAGGCAGAGCGCAATAGCCAGGGTTTGATCCCCGGCATGCCATGCTGGCCGCACCCTGGAGCTTGCTGAGATGGCAATTGAGACTGGGCATGGTGGTGCGCACCTGTAATCCCAGTGCTTGGGAGGCTGAAAACAAGAGAATCACTACGAGTCTGATCTGTGTAGTGAGACCCTGTAGACCCTGTACTAAATACATTTAAGAAAGAAAGAAAAAGAAAGTAAGTAGGTAAGAAAGAAAGAAAGAAAGAAAGAAAGAAAGAAAGAAAGAAAGATCTATCCCAACTTATTTATGAATTTATTTAGTATAACCTGGCAACTTCAACCAGCAGGAAAAAAAGGAAATTGTGAATCAATTTCACTTTGAATACAGATGCAAAACTTCTCTGGAAAACATTAGCAAATTAAATCTATCAGTGTATTTTTTTTTAAACATTTTTTTTTAATTTAGTGTGTGTGTGTGTGTGTGTGTGTGTGTGTGTGTGGCCAGCTCAGCCCACCAGGGGGCAGTGCTGGCTGGCATGTGGTGCTGGGGGATTGAACAGCAGTCCCTCTGCTTTGCCAAGCTTGTTCCAAGTAGGTGCCTTAGACCACTGAGCCATCTCACCAGCCCCTATCAGTGTATTTTAAAAAGAAAAATATGTCATAATGATTAGGCTTATTCAAGGAATTCAAGGATGGTATAACTTTTTTTTTTTTTTTTTTTTTTGAGACAGGGTCTCACTGTATACTTTAAACTGGTATTGAACTCAACTGTGTATCCCAGACTGGCCTCAAACTCACAAAGATCCTACTGCCTCAGCCTCCCAAGTGCTGGGATTATAAGCATACATTTGTTTTGATGTAGCATTTTTAAATTTATTAATGTAATTAAATTTTTTAATTTATTAATGTAGTTTTCCACATTTGCAAGTTAGGTGAAACACCATACAGTGAAATCAAAACTTTTGAAACAATTCAGTACTCATTCTACAAAGCAGTACAGGAAAGTAATTAAGGTTTTGTACTTATTTAAAGTAAGGCTTTTGGGCCAGAGAGATGGCTCAGTAGAATAAGCGCTTGCCTGGCAAGCACAAGGGTCTGAGTTCAATCCCTGGCTCCGCAAAAAAAATAAATAAAGTAAGACTTTTGTGTTCAAATTCCATTTTCCTACTGACTTTGGACATATTTAACTCACTGTATTTCATTTTTCTCCTGATGTAATAAGGTACTAACTTCAAAAATTTGTTATGAGAACATAATAAGTTAATACAGCCTCCTTACAAGTGTGCATCACCACACCTGGTTTATAGAACAAACTTTTGTGTACCAAGGTACTAGGTACTACTATACTTTAAACTATGCTAACTTGACCACATGAAGGTTTTGTTTCCTTTTGTTTTTTGAGACAAGATCTCTGTGTAGTCCAGGCTACCTTTGAACTTAACTCTGTAGCCCAAGCTGGTCTTGCACTCAACAGTCGTCCTACCTCGGCCTCTTGAGTGCTAGGATTACGGGTACACACCACCAAGCCCAGCAGAAAATCTTAAGCTTCAGTAAAATAAAATAGTATAAGCAAGGTAAAATACAATCTACAAGTCAAGAGAAGATATATAAAATGTAAAAAACATATCAGGTTAGTACTCAGATTATATAAAACACATCTACCCTGTCAGTAGCAAAGACGATCCAATAGAAAAATGGAGTGAAAAAATTTGGGCAGTCAGTTCACAACTGAGAAGCCCCAAAGAGCAAACAAGAAAAATTAGCATTTGTTCTAATAGTGTTTGTAAATAGGATATCATGTCCGCATCTTGTACAGCAGTTAACCACTAGGAAGAATGTGTGCAATGTGTCAATTATTGAAACTGTCCTACCAATTTGGTTTGAAACTGTCTCATTGCTATTTGTTTCTCAATAAAATTATGGGGGAAAAAAAAAGAAAAATTAGCACCACTAATATTTGTCAGGAGGTACAAAAGGACCTTATTGCAATATAATTAAAGCTGTGCATAACAAGCCCACAGCCAGCAGCATACTGAATGGGGAAAGATCATGGAAGTATTTCTTCTAAAATCAGGAACAGGGCCGGGGAGATAGCTCAGCACATAGGTCCTAAATTCAATCCCTAGTACCACAAAAAAATAAAATCAGGAACAGACAAGGGCATTCAGTCTCACTACCTTTCTCCCCAAGATAGCACTTAAAATTTTAGCCAGAGCAACTAAGGAAGAGAAAATAGTAGGCCAGGCATGGTGGCATTTGCCCATAATCTCAGTACACGGAGGCTGGGGCTGGAGGATTGTTGTAGTTCAAAACCAGCCTGGGCTACAAAGTGAGCTCAAGGCCAGCCTGAACTGCACAAAGAAACCCTGTCTCAAGACAACCAAAAGGGGGAGTGGGAGGTGGGATAAAAGAGATACAAATAGGAAAGGAAGAAATCAAATTAGCCCTACTAATAGATGATGATCTTTTACTTAAAAGATCCTAAAAACCCATCCAGAAGACTTTAAAATCTGATAAACTCAGCAAAATGGCAGAATACAAAATAAATGCACAAAAATCAATAGATGTTCTATATACTAATAAGCAAGGAATCAACAAGAACAAGATACTCCATAAAAGAACAGAAAAAGTTAAAAGAGAACCGAATAGGGGGGCCTGCCCCTTAGTTCAGTTCTTTAAGTGGCTGCTTCAACAAAGCAGTCAGGCTCAGGTTGCTGTGGTTTGATCCCCAGAACTCAAGCCAGCCAAACCTGCCCTGAAGTCATTCGGAGCCAGCCAAAAAAACCAAAAACAACCTTCTGCCATTATAAGGGGGCCAGGGAGATGGCTCAGTAGAATTAGCGCTTCCCTAACAAGCACAAGGTCCTGAGTTCAATCCCCGGTTCCTCCAAAAAAAA